AGTGTGTCTATAGGTACATACATAATTTGAATTTTATATATATAGATTAATAGATGTATGCACATAGATACATACATACATAAAATGTGAAGTTAAATAAAATAGATGCTTTTATTATTGCACTCGCTTTTACCAACTTTTTAAAAAGAGGTGCGTATATTGTCTCGAATTCGATTAGCTATGGAAATAAGCTTTGTTCTTCCCCTCCTCCTGACGGCTTTCAAAATGGGATTCATTTGCGTCCAAATCTTCCACTCTGTAGTAAATGCAAATGTTGTGGAGTGCTCAAACAACGTTTATAATTTCACTGACTTTAAGCGATGAGTAATACAGTTCAAGATGAATTCCTTATGACTCTTCACTCATCTGAAAAAGAGCAAACATGTCCCTAAATCTCCGCCTTTCAACTTCCGCATCAGCAATCTGGGACTCGTTCTTCTCTTCAAGAAATAACGCCGCGGCTATGGATTTCATTCTTATAATTATGTATCCACTTAAATTTAATTTTTAAATTACAGTGATGCTATGTATATTTAGTTATTTTAAAATATTTACAAACTTTAACTTCATATGCTGCTATAGTTTGGTGGCAAATATATCTTTGTTTTGTTTCGATTTCACACATTCCTAAGCAAACAGCTGATTTCGTTTCGATCGTAACGCAGAATACCTAAATTCGATTCCAGCGGAGCGGAATGCGGGAACGTAATCGAAATGCAGAATAGGGCTGATTTACTTTGATATATTTTTATTTAGTAAAAAATACATATTTACTAGACCGCTTAAAATACGGAGATGATGGCTCTAACAAAGGCCATGAGGGAATGCAAAGTGACAGTAAAAACAAGTAAGAAAGTCTAAGTTCGGGCGGAGCCGAACATTAAATACCCGGCGCAAGTATTAAATATATGTTTTTTCACCTTTCCGAAACCTTCCGCTAGATGGTAAGCCAGGGTGTATCAATTTTGAGTAAATTAGCGTCCTTCAATTTCGAAATATTGAAGTTTCAAGCATTTCTGAAATTTACCGTTATATGAGAAGCGGCCGTTATTTTAGTCCGATTTCAATAATTTTCAACGTTTTGCTTATATGTGCCAAGCACAATAACCACACCGAGTTTGGTACAAATTGGTAGAACAGTTACCGATATACTTATATGTGATCATTAGTGGGTGCCACGCCCATTTTCCAAAATTTTACCATAAACGTATTTCTTGGTAAAGAATTGTTGGAAGCATCAATTTTGAATAAATTAGCTTCAATATTTACTGATTTATCGAAGATTTTGTATTTCTCTAAATTACCGTTATATGGGATGTGGGCGTGGTTATTGTCCGATTTTAAAAAGTTTCGGCGATTTTTTATGCTGTACCAAGGCCAACAACTGTGCCAAGTTTGGAAGAAATAGGTGCAGCGGTTACCAAGATATACACATGTAACCATAAGTGGGCTTGCCTACGCCCATTTTCCAAAAATTTATAATATTCTTATTTTTCGTCTAAAAATTATTGTAAATATCAATTTTAAGTGAATAATCTCCAGCAGTTACTAAAATATCGCAGTTTTCGTATTTCTGGAAATTACCGTTATATGGGAAGTGGGCGTGGTTAAAGTCCGATTTCGCCCATTTTCAATACCAACCTACCTTGGATTAAGGGAAACCTACATACCAAATTTCGTTGAGATATCTCAATTTTTGCTCGAGTTATCGTGTACACGGACGGACGGACAGACGGACGGACAGACAGACATGGCTTAATCGATTTCTTTTTTCATCCTGATCATTTATGTATACATTTGTCTATATCTATCTCGATTCGTTTTGGCTGTTACAAACAACCGTTATGTGAACAAAATTAATATACCCTTGTGCACAAGTGCGCTCGGGTATAAAAATCGAGCATTCTGTATGCCGAATGACTGGCGAGATTCAGAATAAGGATATGGATGAAGTCGCCAGCATGCTCCCTTTAGAAACCCTTACAGCAGTGAGGGAAATAGAAGAAAAACTGCAGTTAAGAGATTTCGCTCAATCAATGGTATGAAAGTGAACTGTTTGTTTAATATTTCCATGAATACATGTATATACTTTAATTTTAAAATGAAAGGAACTTCGGAGGATGTGAGCACTGTTACCCGTAAAGTTTTTACGGATGACCTCCTGGAGAAATATAACTGGGATGGGAGGTGGGAATAGAAGTCGTTGGCAGAGCTTACGCTTGTGAACACGACTCTAAGAGGTACATATTATTTATGACCAAACAAAAATAATATATGTATTTTTAAAGCTTATGTTTTCATTTAAATTTTAGATGTCTTCAAAAATCAAGGAGCCATTAATTATCAAAAAAATGTCCGAAAAGCAGTAGAACTGAGTCACCACCGTGTTCAGCAAAAAAAATATTTAAATAAGGGAAAATCTAAATAATTTGTTTACATTTATTATATATCTACTTAGTGCCGTTTTCTCAAGTAGGGTTTCAAAACTTATCTCCTTTTATTATTATTTTCACTTTTAATGAAAAAATTTTCGCTTAACGTTTTTATTATTATTTCTGTACGAATATTTTAGAAATACGTAATTTACATATGTGTTTAATATAGGACTTAAGTAAATGAATTTTAATTAAATTTATTTCAATAAGGTTAAAATGTGATTTTTGTACTTGAATCAACAGTGGTAGGTATGAACATCAAGTGTGATTCCTCAATTTTGACAGGTTTATGCATCAATTATGATGGCTCAACTGTGACAGGTTCCAACATCAGGTTTGACTAGTCAACTGTGGTCGGTATTTACATCATTGTTGGCAAGTAATATGTGGTAGAGTGACGAGTTCAGCTATATTTTTTATTAGTCGATAAAATTCATAAGTTGGAGGGACATGCAAAATCACACGTACAGACAAGTTTCCATCAAGTTTTGCATATTGGCCATGAACGAAAGACACAAGATCACGTAAGAACAAGAGAGTGAAAAAAGTCGATTTTTTTAGCGGATTCTACGCCATCTTGCTTCACTGGAAAACGAGCGAAAAGTAAACAAAGCAAAGAAAACAACGAAAACCAAAATTAGCCAAAATTATTGTCAGCCACTTTAAACGCACAATTTAGGTAAAATGATGAAACCAAATGCTTTAAAATGTGTTGTCATGTTGAATTAACTCTTCCTTACTTGAATAAAAGTGTAAAATAGTGGTGCTTGTGATGTAAACAAACGCTCAGCTGACGAACCCGCTTTCGCAAACTTTTTTCTCAAAACCAGTTACAAATACAACGTCGCGTTCTTACGTGATCTTGTATTTTTGGTTCATGGCATAGTGGCTTTAAGAGCTTGATAGAAACTTTCTGTCACGTATTGACAGATATTTCTATCTCCAATGACTATCACATGATTAATCATATGACTATCACTGTTCTTGTAGGGAAGAGTTCCAGAACTAAATTCCTCTGGGCATCGACACCACCAACAATATTTGTTTTGCCTTTTCCAAATTGGATATGGAAGCAAGGCAAGTGAGTGTAGAGGCGAAAAGTCAAGAAAACAGTTGAAAGTTATAATTTTGAAAGATTTTGGTTTATTTGGGAACCGGCACTAAGGCCTCTGTGGGTTGGCAAATACAGCAGACGATGGAATGATGCGCTGCATGAGCTTTAGAACGATATTGACATACCATGAAATATGCATAATTCTCCATTAACTGCTTTTTTAAACACAGCTAAGCTAACATTGATTTTTTATCACTAAGCAAAGCCTCGACCAGGCACATTGAACAGTAGATCAGCTGATTTGATTTTATGTCCACAAAAATTAATAATCAATTTTAAAATTTATCAGGCTGCTAAAATTTAAAACGACAAATTTTCCGTACAAAATTGTGTAATGTTAAATTTTAACAGGCTGATAAATTTAAGATGGCATGGTGCAACCGGGCATAAATTGCCAAAATTTATTTTCATGTGAAACCTATTTTCATTAATGCCCATCAAGAGCACAACGCTAATTATTGGGCCTTGCAAAGAATGGATCAATGCTTCTGGAAGCAAACAAATCTTCCAAGAAATAAAATCGCAACAATTTTTATATTTTTGATTTAAACTTTTTATGTTTCATATGGTTCACTATGATATTAAAAAAAACTATATTGTTTTGACACTTGTTTACTACAAGAAGCAACAACAAAATACATACATGCAAAATGTATTCCACAAAGTGTGATTGATTTTGACAATGCTCTCATAAGAACCAGGCTATAATGTCAAATTGAAATGAATTTGAAAATGTGTTTTTTTCAAATTTGAATTTGTTTAAAAATAAATTACACACAAATTTTTCAAGCAACAAATTTCCTTAATAAACGTGAAATTCTTAAGAGATAAACCGCCGAGGAGAGCAAGTAAGTACATTTAAGTTTGGTAATAAGTAAATACGTTCGACTTTGCTTAAATATTTAATGTAAGGAAACCAAGATGAAACGGAACGATATTTTAAAGCACCTAGTTGCGAATTAAGACGGCAGCGATGGGAAGAAAGCTGTGGTGTTATATTACGTCATTCATTTCGCGTTCGTGTAAACCACTTCAAGGACTTTCAAACAAGCTCGTTTATACACAGGCACAGTCCCAATGCCATACGAAATAACTGATACATGTGAGGATTTACTACGCGATCAGGATACATTCTTTGTTGATGACCAAACTCAAACAGACGACTCTTTAGAATGAACGTTGCGAACAGAAATATTTCGGCTTACCGAAATAATTAAAACCATGTAAGCAAGTATGGAAGAGCTTAAATTAAAACCGCTCGAAGCAAAGTCTTTAATGAGAAACTATTTCGCATGAAAAAAATTGTATTTCAAAGTTGTTAGAGTTAAGGTGCTGGCCCAATGCAGGCTTGCTTTGCTTGCTTCGCTGCGAGAAGTGTCAAAAATTATTTGGAATATACTAAAACGTATAAAGGCTGGCCAAATGGCAGCTTTTCTTCACTTGCTTTAAGCGCCTCACTGTTTGAAATAAGTAAATGTTTTATTTGAAAGCGTTTTGTAGGCTTTTGACAAAGAGGTATCTTCCTTTCAAAATACATAAATTCAAACAAAAATTTGCTTACTTAATTTAAAAAAGTCACAGAAAATGCAGGTAATTCGAAATGAAATAAAAATGAGTCATTGTTTCCATATTTATATTTAGTATATCGTTATCTTATAGTAAAAAGTTGCAAAGCCCGCTTTTACAAATTTTACACGAGAGGAAAAAACTTCTTATAGCTCTTTTCTTCAAGTAAATCGCTTTTGAAAGTTATAGTTTTTTTTAGTAAATGCAGATATAGATATGTGTGTATCATTATTATCATTTCTTTTAAATACAAACATTATTTCGCATTAATTTAAAAGTAAATCTGAAAGTTTCTGATACATTTTTTAGAGTTTTCTAGGAAATAATTATTAACGTTAGGGGAAGAGACATTGACTTTTCAACCAGACAGCTGGTTACTTTGACAGCGTTCCAAGCCACCATTCGGCCCAGCAAGTTTTCAAAGTAAATCAAAGCAAATTGAAGTCAGCAAGGCGCGCAAAGCAAGCCTGCATTGGGCCAGCGCCTTTAACCCTTCGATTTGTGAGAAGGTCCCTAGGGACCTTTTCGTATTTCATGTGCCTATATCTTTTTGTTCAATGCATTTTTGAAAAGAATTTATACATGTATTCCAAGAATAAATTAAGCTGAATCGTTTAAAATAAGTTTCGAAGGGATACGGGATCACGTTCGAGTGTTATTGAGATTTCAACATATATAGTACGCGGATTAGTGACAAGGTCCCTAGGGACCTTGTACAATTTTAGAAGAAATAACAAGTTACTTGTCTTCATGTTTTGATATGCACTTAAAATAAATAAACTTAAAAGCAACAGTAAATTTGGAAGCATGTATTTTGCACTGGTCATGAGTTCTAACAACTGGCGTGTTATTTTACCGTTAGTTGTTGCATACGTACCACGTGGCATTTTTTTTGTTCAGCGTCAGTCTGTCTACTTATTTTACCGTAGAAACAGTTGCGTAAATAAATTTCTGTGCCAGTTTTATTAGATTTCTTTTCGGAAGTTATTACAGTGCACTGCAGTGTTAGAAATTTGTGTTTTGTGAGTACCGCGTGTACTTTCGTTCAGGATCAATCGGCTAACTTTTTGTGTAGTAGAAACATAAATTTCGTAAATATTTTCCTTTCTCCTGTACGAGTTTTGTTGGATTTATTTTTGGTAATTATTGGAGTGCATTACATATAGGCGAAAGTCAAACGATTTTGGACATTTTTTCAGAGCAATGGCAGATGCAGGTTGGGAAGCTGCGGACATGGTTCTGCGAAATTGTACACGCTACCAGAGAATGACTGAGGAAGAAAGGCGTGTCGTTGATGAACGTTTTGAAAGGTATATGAATGAGGTAAGCGATGATGATAGTGCTGATGGGTTGGACGTCCAAAGTGAAGATGGCGCTGACTTAACTTATCGACCAGAAATTGATTCTGATGCATCTGACATCGAAAGCGAAGTGAATGTGGAAATGAACGAAGAGGTAGATGAAGAAGATGACGAAGGTGCTGCAAACATAGCAAACCTAACTCCCGTTGAGAGAGAGTGTGGATACTACATATCTAAAAATGGCACTAAATGGTACAAGGATCCCCCACCGAACTCTCGGATTCGTGCACATAATATCGTCGACTACACGAGAATTAAACCAGGGCCAGTGGGGACTATTCGTGATCCAAAAACTATCTTCCGTTCACTGATCACTGAAGATATCGCTGATATCATCATACGCGAAACGAATCGAAAGGCAAATCAGGTGACTGCTTCGTGGAATGCTGCAAATCCAACGAAACAAAAGGTGTGGAAGCCATTCAATTTTAAAGAGTTTGATGCATTTTTGGCCATAGTTTTGCATGCTGGGCTGTCGAAGTCGAATAACGAGCCAGCAAAAGAACTCTGGAGTCCAACACATGCTCCAATATACAAGGCGGCATTATCATATGACCGATTTATGTTAATAAAAAAATTCATACGTTTTGATAACGTGAATTCACGGCAAAACTGCTGCTATAGATGCCGTTTGGTTGATGTTACAAAACAATTTAGCAGCAGCATATAACCCTCAAGATTCACTTACAGTAGACGAGCAGTTATTTCCATATAGAGGGCGAACACGATTTACGCAGTATATTCCGTCAAAACCCGCAAAGTACGGGATAAAAATTTGGTGGTTGTGTGACTCAAAGTCTTTCTATCTTCTCAAAGGGAATATTTACGCCGGAAAGTTGGCAGGCCAAGAGCGAGAGGTTAATCAAGGTCAAAACGTTGTGAATCAGTTGATTGGAAAATATCTTCACACGGGTCGCACAGTATATGCTGACAACTTCTTTACAACGTTGGATGTGGCTTTGTCATTAATGAGGCAAAGAACTGCGTTTGTTGGAACAGTCCGCTCTAATAAAACATTTGTCCCGCCAGAATTTCTAAAAAGTTCGGCACGTCCCGTTTTCAGCTCATTGTTTGGGTTCTACGAAGACAATGTTTCTTTGTGCTCATATGTGCCAAAGAAAAATAAATCGGTCCTACTCTTATCCACAATGCACTATACTTGTAATGTAGATAATGAATCCGAAAAGCACAAACCAATGGTCGTTCTGGACTACAATGCCCATAAATCTGGGGTGGATACCATGGATCAAATGCTCGGTACATATTCATGCAAACGATCCACAAAACGCTGGTCGCTTGCAATGTTCTACAATATGGTAGATATTGCCGCGTTAGCCGCATTTATAATATATGACGAAATGGATCCAATTAAAAAATCTGATAAGCGACGATCGTTCTTAAAATTACTAACGAAACAACTAGCGATTTCAAATATTGAAGACCGCGCCACTAACGCACGCATAACTTGCTATCCCAACATTCGTAATGCTATGGAAGCATTTGATGTAAAGGTATATCCAAAATTAAATTCTCATGCAACTAGATATGGAAATATGTGCTAATAATTTGCGCTTTCTATGTTTACAAGTAATATCAAGGCCAGCCCCAGGAACTGCACCTGAATTCGCGCCACGCTCCAATCGTCCGTCATGCCATTTATGTCGCGCACATTATAAACGCCAGCGCAAAACCAGGTCATACTGCTATTCCTGCAACAAAGCAGTCTGTGCTGAACATTCCGCAACGTTGCATCGATGTCATAGCTGCACTCCTGCATAAATTCATGCGAATAAAAAGCATTATATTACTTTTCACATTTTCTGTTACTTGTATGCCATAAAAAATCATCAATAAAATTTGACTTTTTTCACTTGTTCTTCAAATTATTTCATTCCTAATATATATGCAGGACGTTAATTTAATCAAAAGACAACATAAATACCAAAGAAGTTGCACATGTACAGTCGAAACATCGAGCAACTCTTTGTAGGTTCCTAAGGACTTCTCACGAATCTAACGTCATCGGCACTGTCACTCATCGGAGGGTTAAGCTCACATATAAAATTGGAAACAAATGTAAAATCATACTTTTATAAGTGTCGAATAACGTTTAGGATAAAAAATTTAAATATAAAAATAAACGCACCAAAGCATAAGACTTGGCAATTAAAAACAAGAAAATTGCTAAAACGACTTTATAAACAATTTGTTTTATTTTATTGACAAAATATATGTAATGTAAGTAAAACCAAACTATAATCGAAATAAAAGCCTAGGGCATCAGTGCTGACAAGATACATGTATCACTAAGGGTTGATTCGTTTGTTTATACTTTTTGACATTATAGTACCTAAAAAGAGAGCCGCACTGAGTTGTCAATCACACCTTGTTTAATACACCTTGCATACATGTAAATGTTGTTTTTGTTCTAATGCTACTACCGGACAACTCTACACCCATTAGCGCACACAAGGGGTGGGTTTTGGGGTTCAAACCCCCCCTAAAGCTAATAACCTCAAATACAATCTGTATCTTAAAGCTAAGAATCCAGCTCTCAAGGAAATTATAAGAAATATTTATTATAATTTCTGTTGCTTGAAAAAGCGCTTTGCTTTTGCTGTAAATTTTCATGAGGGAATAAATATACGAGCATTTTTTTTCTTGAGAGCTGCAAACTGATTTAAGAAATTTTGGTAGAGGAAAATTTCTTTTCCATTTCTCGTCCGTCGTTTTATATAAATTTTTCGTTTTTCTTGAGAGTTCAGTTAATTTTTTCGGTATTTGAAATATTAAAAAAATTTAGCAATCGTGAAAAATCACCATCTCTATCGAAAACCAGAAATCGAAAAAATGAACATAGAAGTGCAAAAATTCATGGAATCAATAAATTTAATTTTACTGCCTCTTTTTTAAAATTTTTTATTAGGTACTTTTGAAAGTTGAGCGCATATTGAGTTTATAGAACTTTATATTAAACAAGTAGTTTTTAAGGAAAGACACAACCGACTTCAATTCTCATATTCAAATTTAGGGGTACCGTTAATTTCTTCATGATCCAATCATCGGATCTCTAAAACAAATTACGGGACGAACCTTGAGGTACTATCTTTCTAATAAAAAAAGGATTATTGAAAACGGTTCACGTGGTCCAAAGTTATGTATTCCGGCGAGATGATAACATCCCTTTTTTTGAAGTCGGTTAAAAGCGTTTGAGTTCTGTTAATCTGTAAATAAAGTGCAGTTTATGAATTTTAAAACGTTTATTTATTTATTACATACTGTACATAAAACTTGCATAAATGTATTTTAAAGAGGGTATTATCTGAAGCAAATTTTCAGTATTTTCCGGTGATATATTTTCAGAAATATAAAACCCCCCTAAAATATATTCCTGGGTGCGCCCGTGTCTACACCTAAAATGTATTCAACAAAGTGGGATTGAATTTGACATTGCTCTCAGAAGAACCATCCTATAAAGTCAAATTGAAAAAAATTTGTATGAATTTTGAATCGATTGTTTATATTTTTTGGCATAATAGTACCTTAATACCAGAGCTGTAAAACTGTGAAATCATTTAAAATTTTAATCATGAAACATTTACAAGTAGGATTTCATTCATTTTCCTTTGGTCTGGTAGTGTGGCTTATATTTTTTTCAATCTACAATCATTAAAAAAAAAATTGATTTCACACAGTAAGGTAATAAATACCTGAATGAAAAACTGAGAATGCTGAAGTAAACAGAATTCAATACTGAATTAGCTTCCAGATAAATGAACACTTTGCTATGTGTGCATTCTCTAATTCAGTTCCAATCAAATTTTATACACTAAGAAAAATATGTAAGTTTAGATGATGGAACAATGAGGTGTATGAACTTTAAAACGATATTGACATAGTGTCGCGTATCAGCGGCCACACGGGCTAAGCCATGTCCTACGAATGAATGGTTGTGCATGGACTCCTCCACGCATGAAACGCAGCTTGATTCACATGAACATATTGTACAAATTTATAGTTTAGGTTGTTTAAAAACTGAGTGCAAAATCTTCCAAGACAATTAGTATCTATTATTTTTTTATTTTTTAAAGATTGGAAAATCTGCAGAACATGAAATAATCAAGCATAACAACCATCAAATGATAGCAGCTTTTATCATTCAGTCCATGGTTTATCCACATACATATAATGTCCTTTTTTAAAACACATATGTGCCCATTTTCGCGCGGCCACCCTTTATGATCAGTTTTTATTTGTAAAGAACGATATTCTCATTTCCCAATACCAGGCGCTCATGCACGTGAAGTAACAAATTTTCTATTTCTACGTACAAAATTGTTTGTATAAATTTTTAAATTTCCAAAATTCTACTTTGTACAGTTCAAAGGCTTCTACAAAAAAAAATTATTTAAAAGTTCTACAAACAAATTTATACATATAGAAAGCTTGCTACTTCATATGTATGAGCGCCTGGTATTGAAAGATAAAAATATCTCTTTTTACAAATAAAAATTTAGTTCGTTAAATAAAGGTATTGGCCCAATGCACGCTTGCTTTGCTTGCTTTGCTTACTTTAGTTTGCTTTGCTTTACTTTGAAGGAAGTGAAGTAAAGCTGCCACTAGGCCAACTTTCATACATTTTAGTAGATTTTAAAAATTGTTTGACAGTTCTCAAAGCCAAGCAAGCAAAGCAAGCGTGCATTGGGCCAATACCTTTAAATTGACCGCAAGTTTCCTTCAAAAACATGCAGTTGGTTTTAAAAAGCTTTGACAGAATATCCAAAGCTGGTACGTACTTCTGGTCTTAGGTAATGCTTTACCAAATTGTAGCAGTAGTAGAAAAGCAGAAGTAAAACGACTATTTTCTCCTATAAATATTTTCTTGAAGGCATATTTTTTCAGTGTAGTACTGAATGATCAAAACTGTTTGCATTCAACCAAAATTTACAATCACGATGATTGCGAATACTTTTGTTACATTTACATTCTATACTGAATGGAACTCTGCCATTCAACAACACATTACGTTTGTTTTTGTTTCAAAATAATTTAAGCCACTCAGGAATGAGGTTTTTTTTATACAGCCAAACAATCAAAATTTTGAAACGAGTGCCAAGTGAATGCAGATCCTACTGATTCAACCATTTCACAGCTCTGCTTAAAACAGAGCCTACCTGAGTTGTCAATCACACATTGTTTAATACACCTTGTCTATACCCACCTCAATTAAAAGTTTCCCTACAGGAAACTAGTTTATTTTCAATAATAACTAATTGAAATTCTCACTTTTTCCCCTGCATCGAACTGATTTATTTAACATGGCGATGGCGATGTCCTAGGAAGCAGTTAATTATCAGACTGCATTTGATTTCAGCTACTTTAAAATTAATTTGGCTTAAAGCACTTCAAAGTCAGTATGTTTCTATTGAATGCGTTTCCGTGCTGGACTACGCAGATGCTATTTCATACTTGCAATACAGAAATTGTTTCTTTGAGTAAAACTAGTATCAAAATTCGAAACATTTACTCACTGCATTTGTTTCAAAGTAGTCTTTCAATTAGTTGATTAAAAAAAAAACTCACTTACTACCGTCAGGGTATGTACATATACTTGAATGCTAGGTATCAAGGTTGTTGCGAATATTCGCATTCGCATTCGCAACCGCGGAGCTTCCGCATTAATTTTAACACTCGCTTTCGCTTTCGCATTCGCAATAATCAATGCGGAGCTTTTGCGAATGCGAATATTGTGCAAGTGCACCGATAAAACGTATATCTGGCAAACAAAATTACAAATTGTAGCCAATATTTATTTCCTGTGGAGATGCGACGTTAGGTCGTATTACCCGGGCGCCGCACAGGAGAGTATTTGTGTAACAAAACTGGCCAAATGTCATATATAGATATCAACTTTGATAAGAGTATCTCTATACATATTATTTCTTAAGATATATAACGGAGCTATCAATGGGGGGGTCATACAAGTTCCCACTTCTACTTCACCTTTGACGTACGTCAAAGAGAACATTGTCCTTTTAATAATATTTTTTTTTGTTTTCCGTGCTTTAAATACCTACATTGGTTTATTTTTTTGGACCAATCTTAAAAAAGCTAGTAGACATAAATTTTAAACCAAATTTTCGTGGTATGCTTTTGATGTTACATATCAGGTTCCCTGTCATTTGTTTACTTGTCGGGCAATATTTTTTTCATAGGGATATACATTGCATCCTTGGCTAAAAACTTCTGTGGTAAAACTCTCTCCCTACGTTTTCGTTAAAGTCTTTCTAGTGCAATTTAAAGTCAAAGAGTAAGCTCCTTCAATAGGGATTTCCAGCAGAAATGGTCAACGTTTGTCTATAAAGAGAATCGATGCTCAAATAATTAAAAAGCTATACGTACGTAACTACGTAACTATCTGAGACCCTCATCATCCGTGATTCCAATAATTCAAATGCTTATAAAAAATAACAATATTCTGATCCATTTGGCTGGCAGCCACGACTTTAAAAACAGAATTTTGTTCAAAATGTTCATTCCTGGAAAATAATAATTTATTTCC